TTGCAAAGTATTTGTGAAATGAAAGTCAGAATAATGAGACCTGTGTCTCAGCCGGATCGCTGCAGTAACACGGCAATTAAGACAAATGTGTCAAACTAGATGGCCGTTTGGCTAATGGTATGCACCCAAACTTTGTCACTTGATGAGGCAGCTTGTAAGAACAAATCTGTGTTGTTTGCATTTCTGTCAAATATCTTTGCTGATGACATTAAAATAGATGCTCTGGCAATCCTATGTCCCAGATGTTTCACATATATTCAACTGATGTGTACATACAGTATGTTCTGAGATAAAGATAATGCGGCCTGGATTAGATTTGTTATAACATAAACCTAATGTTTCTATTGAATGTACCTGTCAAGAAAAACAAGACATTTTAAAACCACCATTATATATCTTGCCAAAGAAGGACAAGAGTCCCAGTAAAACTAGAGACATAGATCATTACCTTATTTTAACATGCTTGATCAGCACACCTACAATTTGCCCTTTTCTGTTTTCAAGTATATGTGTTTATCTATGACTGTACTGTATACAAGAATTTTGTATCATTATGTGGAGCCCCTTTCTAGGGGTTAGACCACATTTTACATGTATATGTGTATTAACCCACTATCTTTCCCGAGACTTAACCTAGCCTTATGTTTCCCATGAAAACATAAGTGGTAAAACAACTTAGTGTCATGATCCCAGTTTTTGTCCTGTCTCCACCCAATGGATTTCTTTTGTATTAAACCCAGTCTCAGTTTTTAACTGGGTTCCGTTTGGCCGTGCTGGCATGCCACCTGTTACGTGGCATGGACTGCAGGCCACCAGTGAAGTCAGCTGACAAATGATGGATGGTAATTAGAGAAAATATCTTTTTATATTAAACAATCAATCAATTAATCAAAATTTATTTATATAGCACTTTAAAAGCAACGTCTGGTCGACCAATGTACTTTACAAAGGCAATGTAAAAACCAGAATAAATAATATCAATAGAGAAATAAAACAACATAGAAACATAAAGACACGAACTACACAGAATCAACAGTTAAAAGAAGGAAGCATCAGACAATACTATGTATTAAAAGCCAAAGTGAATAAATATGTTTTAACCAGTGATTTAAAAGTTGTCAAGTCTGTAGATGACTGAACATTAAAAGGTAAACCATTCTACAATTTAGGAGCTGCAACAATAAAAGCACAGTCGCCCCAGCATTTGTATCTGGCCCTGGGAAGCTCTAAAAGAAATTGGCTTGAGGATATTAAGCAACACAATAACTCTGCTTTTCAGCTACACAATGGAGGACATTATATATCACTGACTGAAAACTGCCCCAAAGACCCCAGATACCAAGACACAATCAGTATACAGTATATCTTAATTGGTTTTAATTTCATTCCATGATGATTTTACACAACTATGGTCAAGTTATGAATTGTCATTTCACTTATTGTCATTTCAATCTGCAGACTTTATCATTCAGAGTTAAAAGTTACAGGTTACTGGTAGATGTTTCCCACAATCACCAGGTCAGTACATAAAATTTTATGGTTGGATGTTCACCATGAAGTGAAGGCTATGATTCACTAGCTGCTGTTCACCATCCTATCAGACTCCACATGCTTTTTTGTTGACTTGCTGCAATTTGCCGTTGCTTCAGGTCAGTGGCATGTGTCGTTTCATGTGCTGAATTTAAATGGAATAAAAACCACACCTATCCAGCATAAAACACCATCGTGCCAGTTGGGTAGTGGAGCACAGCTCCATTCCTCTCATTTTTATTACCCGCTTTACCCCAGTCCACCCACACTCACCTGCCTTTTATTAAGTGTAATCAACCACTCAATATTTAGATCAGCAGCCATCATTTACTCACTGCCAGATCATCTATCAAGAAAATGTCTCCCACTCAGGAGGCGGCTGTGGCTCAGGAGGTAGAGCGGGTCGTTTCCTAACCGAAGGATTAGCGGTGTGATTCCCGGCTTGTCCAGTCAACATGTCGAGGTGTCCTTGAACAAGACACTAAACCCCAAGTTGCTCCCGGTGATGTCACCGGTGTGTGAATTTGGGAGTGCGAATGGGTGAATGGCCGAATAATGTGTGAAAGCACTTTGAGTGTGCTGTAAAAACATAGAAAGGCGCTATACAAGTATAAGACCATTTACTCAGCATTCATTTTTGACCTGCTTACACCCTTGGATTTCAACCTGGCCTTTTCCCTCTTTCATCCACTGGATTCATTTTTGTTGGAACATTTTGCTCTCTCCTGATTTCTCAATAATACCTAACCCAAGTAGTTTTTTTTTTTTTTTATCTGGTATGCCTGAGATGAACTGTTTTTGCCCATGACAACATTTAAGCTTGTACCCTACTCTAACTTGTTGGCATGCCTGAAAGTCACTTTTAAATGTATATTCTGTGTTTAACTCCTGGTTGTCTGCAACTTACATGCTATTATATTCACATGTTTTATATTATCCATGCAGTTGTATTTTCCTGAGCCAGCCACTATACCTACGAGTTATTCTTACCTATATTTCAGCTGCTTGTCTCAGTATTACCCATCACACTGAACTGTGTTCTGGGTTGCCAGTATCACTTCCTGTGCAGTCATCTCTTTCTGTTTCCAGCTAGTATACTTACTGTCATTAGTTAGTATATCTGTGTGTTCCTGTTTACCTGCATGTGTACCAATAACATGCTTATCAGTTTGCCAGTTATTATTATTAAAGCACTGTTCACTTCATAACTTCCTAGACTTTTATTTCTATACTCCAGCACCTACATGAGCATATTTTGCATTCCATGTTTCACATATTTTCCATTTTAATTTTTAGCACAATTCCTAATAAAATAGAATGAGTGCATTATCTTTATGCTGATTATGTGGCTACCATAACTCTTCTGTTGCCTTGTTCTGGCAGAGTAAACATACCAAAGTGCAGACATATTGTTCTGTTCTAACCCTACAATAAACATGCAATCAGTACACACATTTGCACTTTCATCAAGATGTAGTAAAATTTGAACACACAGAGTCAGGGTGCCTTACATAACCATAAAGTAAGCCTGGCAGGAGCTGTCATCAAAAGTGTGCCTGCAGCCACCTTCTTGAGATGAAAAACAAATGAAACACTTTGAGGCTGAGTTGATTCCCTTCCCGTTATGCAGCTCCATCTGTCACTCCCAGTGACTTATTCCTAGCAAGAATGCTTTCCTGCATGACCTCCATGATGGCGCAGCAAGATGAACGAGGTGGGTATGGTCTCTGTCCTCTGTCTTCTCTGTGCCAAGGCAGCGGGGGCACCGAAGCATCGAGAACACCTGCAAACTGAGAGTAATGAGGCAGTAGGCCACACGGCCGCCCATCCTCCCCTGCACTAATCAATCCAGCTAGCCATTAAGGAAACCAAGGAGAACTGCAGCTAGTTAGAAAAAGTTGCAACTTCATACCACCATAAACCACTGTCTGCCTCCTGAAAGTGGTCATTGTAGCTTCTATACAATGGTCACCAGTTCCATTTTTACACTGCACATGCCATTGGCCACCCTCTTGACTTTTGGATTTCCTGTTGATACAATTGCTCCCTTTTACAACTGAAACGAATGATCTTAACCCTCTTCTTTCTATTCCCACCAGACCATTACTGGGGCCTTAAACCTAAAATTCAAGTCTCTTCACAACCAACAGAGTGAGCTCTCAAAGCAGGTCATAGCTGAATTATTTTTGTGAATCTTCTTGTAAACTAAAGCTGAGACTTTTAGGTAATTTGAAATTTTTTTCATCTTCCAACACAAATGCAGAGTTTAGTGTGTTAGCAGAGTTACACACTTCCTGAAAGATTTTTTTTTTCCAGACATGCTCAAGCAGGGGTTTTCATCTTATTACTCGAATGGTGTACACAAAAAGATGTTTTCATTTCAGCTGAAGTGTCCGTCTTCCTTCTATTTCACCCCTTCAATCTCACAGAGTCTTATTTTTTGCATTTGCATTCTCCTCCAGCCAGCCTTGAAGACAGAAGCCAGAAATCACTGAATGTCGCAAAATAAAATAAATAATAAAAAAATAATAAAATAAATTGTATATGTGTGTGTGTGTGTGTGTGTGTGTGTGTGTGTGAGACGCAGCTATGACATTCAAAGTGCATTTTTCAGGAGCTCTCTCCCCCAGCACAACTAGTAAGCATGGCTAATGGAAGTTTAATCAGCAACAAGAGAGGACAGCAGGCATAATGCAACAGATGATAAATAGAAGAAAGATGCAAATGGTATTTATTTTAGACAGGCCATGTTGACAAGGCTGATAATGCCTCCTCATGCAGTTTCTCCCTGAAGCTTCCTTTTGATGGCTCTGAGTGCTATGGCTCTGAGTGGTATGCACCATATTTCACAGCCTATCATTTCTGGAATAAATTGTGTTATTCATAGAAATGCTATAATTTTTTTCTGAATGTCTCTTGTCAGTGGTGCCTGGGCAACATGGCAGTTAGCCAGTATTAATAAAGAGCAATGTAAATTGCTCCAGTCATCACAAATCACCAGCACTTTAGAAGTGGAAATACAGTATGTAAGGGTCCTTCCAAATTCTCAGGACATCCAAATATTTTAAGACAAAGAATTTACATGAGTGTGTTTATATGAAACAATGTTGATAGAATGACTTTTTTCTGCATTTGTGCGTGTTGCAATTACACATTGAAACACATGAATCATGCATATGCAGCCTACACATGACGTGGATTCTGTACTTTATCTCTGCATAATCCCACTCTGGATTTCAGCAATGGTACAAAAATGTTTCATGAAATTGAGTAAAGCCTTTGTTTTAAATATCTATCCAAAGTAAGCTTAAGATAATTGTCAGGACACATGCAGGTCTCTATCTCTCTCCATCTCTTCCTGTGGTTGTTTTCGGGTGTGGCAAGCTTCATTGTCCTCAGCTGAGTGGTTGATTGGCACGCTGACTGGCACAGCTGCGGTCACTCTACAATCAAGCCTCACAGTATTTAGCCACAAAGCTGCTTCCTATCTTTTGGCAGTCTCTTCTGCTGCTTTTGTGGTCCACATGTTTGGGCAAACCTCTCCTGCGGCACTTTGGTGTTTGCCTTGCCCAACCTGATTTCTCCTGTGTTCCAGATCTGCATGTACAAATTGTTCTGCCTGGGCTGCCCTGCTCTGCCTCCCCTGCTTGAAGATGCTTGCTAGTTTTAGATTTCTTCTGTGGCTTTTCTCCAGTTCTCAGCTCACTCCAGTTGCCCAAGCCAAGCTATACCTGTCCAGTCTCAGTGAGTTCTGCTTCCTGCTCTAAGACACCCTTCCTTCTGACTTGCCTGTGCCAAGTGATTTCTACTCCAGTTCCTGCTGCTACTCTTCCTCCACCCTAGATGATCGAGTGGTCACCTGGTTATCCTTTGCCTGACTCTTCATCTACCTGTGGTTAATGGCCGGCCACCATCCTGCCAGACCAGAGTCCAGGAACCTATATCTCGAATGTTGCGGCTCCACCAGCACTACCCACCTCTGTGAGAAGCCTGCTATCCACTCCACTGTTTGCCAAGTCTTCACAGCTACTCCACTCCTCCAGCTGCTGCCTCCCCTACAGACAGTTGCCTGCTACATCTCTTCCATTTGGCACTCTTGACCCTCTTGTACAATAAAATACTTTAAATCTACCTGGTTCCTGAGTCCTGTAATTTGTGTCTAGTATCTCTGCAATTTAAGACTGATATTAACAATTTCCTCAGTTGGTGACATTTATAGTTTAATTACAAGTGACATCTAGATGCCAAATGTTAGTTTATACTAGTATCAACCTTTACGACGCAACACATTTGATAGGGGAATTGGGAATGGCAGAATTTTGTGAGAGTTGAGTTTAAACATCTGTGACCTTAGAAACTGTAACTGCTAAAATGATCTTCCCACAAGATCAAATGAGTAGCTGTTAGGGGGCTTTAAATGTCTTTTTATTTTGATGACCATCCAGAGACAATGCTGTGCCAAGTGCGTTTCCGCCTACTTGTTTTAGAAACACAATTTGCACAAACTACAGTTGAGATGCAAGAAATTATAAAAAATGACAATATACCAAAGCCATAGTTCCATGTTTTCCACCATTTGAGGTTAGTGCTCCAGCCTTCTTTTAAATGTGTTCTTTTGTGTCCTCTTCTGCAATAATTTAATGGAACCTAGCTGGAGAATTAGTGACATCGGCTGTTTATCACAATTTCGTATTTTCTGCTAATTTGTTTGGAAATTTGATTAAAATGTAAGCTACATATTGGTAGGACTCTGACTAATGTTGCAGTCACAACTTATTTCCAAGTAGCCCAAAAATAAGGTAGTGCAATTTTAAGAACTTATTTGCTTATTTGGGCTAAATTTGTTTCCCTGCAGCAGCAAGATCCAGGGCAGCTACTAATTGGACTGCTGATTATTTGTCTGAGCCAAGTTGTATTATTTATTTTTTTATTCGTTTTATTAGATGATTTTTTTTTACCCATGTAATGAAAGGGCTTCATTGTGTACCCTGAATCAAAATGCTTTCCTGCTGGCCCAGCATTTGTTCTATCCTGCAGCCCAGGTGCATCTGTACCACAGAGTAACACAGCCTGTCATTAGAACTAATATAGCTGTCAAGGTAGCTGCAGGACTGTTGTCTACACTCTAGTGTGGCTGAGGCAGTTCGCTTGTTAGGCCTGTTCCTCTCTTACGTTTCTTGTTTTTCCTCAGCTCCTTGAATCTGGCTGATACATTCCTGTCAGTACTGTACAGCTGCACAGAGCAGCAACCCTGCAGAGGTATCGCTAATCAAGTCTTGTCTTGGTCCTCAACAGCTAGCGGGTTGGACTTTGTTGAATAGCTTCACAAAATGTCGACACTGTCACACGTGTCCATGAGCTCGCAGCCCATGACAGGGGCTCATTAGATGTTTGGCACTACATACACACAGCTTCCATGCCTTATGTAATATCACCCTAAATTGAAAAAGGGCTTCTACAGCGTCATATAATCTTAAAAGTGTTGAATACATAAGGCTTTTTAGTTTGTTGTGCATCCTCGTAATACCCCCCCCCACACACACACACACACACACACTGTACAGTAAGTCCAGAAATGGAAAACATTCATTAGCCTCCAGTTACATGCTGCTGCAGATTTCTGGCTTGACATTGATGTATGATCTCTCATAAACACGTAAGAATTAAAAATAATAAAACACCACCCTCACTGTTGCTCAGAGACAGGTCTTCAGTGAGCATCCCGATTTCTAAATGAAGATGAACTAAGTGGAATCTACTGAGCATATTGCTCTGGGGGAAAAAAAAACAATGACAGAGAGGGAGCTTGCTGCACGATGTCCTGCTGAGATAACACAAGTTTCACTGTCATAATTTTCTTCCTTCATAACACCAAAATGGCAAATACAAAACAACCATACAAGAACTGCACTGCAGACAGACAAAAGCAAAAAAAAAAAAACATATGATACAATCTTATTGCTGATCAAACTAAGTTGTTCCAGACTTTGAAAGCTTTTTGTACTACTTTAAACGAATTCAAGAAAGTTGGTAAAAATCTTATTTCAGAAGTCAAACAACATGGACTGAGAATGGCTCACAGGGAAAAGAGGGTGATAATTGTGTTTGTTGGATGATTAAGAGGGTTTCCAGGAACAACTTGTGCTTCTGTGCCTTAGTAGCTTCCTGTTGATTAGAAAGCCATCCATTTTAATGGCTTTTCTTCTCCCTTTGTTAACTAGGCACCTCTTTATACAAGAAAACAGCACCCAAATGAATGGTAGGCTATTAAAAAGGAAATAATAGATCAGTATAACAAAACAAAAGGAGAAAAAAGCATGGAGGCTTATGAAGGTTTGAGATATGAAGATTTGTGATTGGCTCAAAGTAAACTAGTCACGCCAGAGGTGCTAATTTAGTTGAAAATAATCTTTCTAAATAATCACACACTGTAGAAAAATAAATAAAATACAATGTACCTGTTCTCCTGCTTCCCCACCTATACACTTATAATGCACCTATGGTTGTGATGAAAGGTGGTGCGAGCAGGTGTTATCTCTATTTTGGGTCAAATTGAGCACCAAAATTGCACTGAACTGTCTAATCTGCATAAACATGGGCTCAACTGCCCCTCTTGTCCCACCTCATTGTTAGAGTATTCATTTGTGAAAGGAAAACACCAACCACAGCAATGTACAAAAAAATAATCCACTTGTGCCTGAGGAAAGTTGCATACAAACTGGCATTGGGCTTGTTGCTAAATAGAGCCCTCGGTGTTTTTCAGATACACAGACTCCACCTGATCTCTGTTGTAGCTCTCTTTGTTAAAGCAGAATGCTTTCCTCAGAATGTTAACCGACATTCTGTGGACAGCATTTGATTTTGTGGAAACGTGTGGAGCTGGTGGACTGAAAGGTTCCCTGCTGCCGCTACAGATACAGAACAATGCCACGTGGGAATAATGTGTCCTCCGCCTCTGTCTGTCAGAACTCGACCAGCTCTCCCTCAGGAGAACCTTCAGCAGAAAAACAAGAGAGAAGCCTCCCGCAATACAAAATTACTCACCGTGCGAGTTTACCTCCAGACATAAGCTTTTATACCAGCTGTAACTTTCCACTGTCTTCAACGCATACACTCACTCACTTTGTCTCAGAACTTGACATTTCCAAGTAATTATACATACAGACACATTACTGCATGTCTGATCTGAGATTATTTTCCCTTGACACTGGTGTATGTTTAAAGATAAAGAAGAATTTAATTACTTTAGACTTTCATGACCGGCCTGCATAAATATGCACATGTTTTACCTTTTGCACCTGGACATATTGGTAGCTGTAGTACCTGCGTTTAGTGTTAATGGCTCTCACAACACGGAGAGTTGTTGTCAACAAACACCTTGCCTGGTGCGGATAAGGTGTGGCGAATTGCAGATCAGCCTATCCTAACTGATCTGTGTTCAGGCAACAAACTGCCACTGTTTTCATGTTTTGATCTTCTTAAAATTGACTGATAACAGTGCTTGAAATAGTAGATGCTGGCATAGGGTGCAAAACTCCCTCAGAACACCTCAAAAGTTCATATCTCCAGCATCATGTCTTTGCTGAAATGTCACAAATATGACAGGTAATAATTCACAGTGGCAGCTGCAGGACAGAGGTCAGAGTGCTGGCACAATATCCATCTATTACATTGGTGTGTGCATCTTTTATGGCACACATAAGCAAGAGGATGTTGGTTTTAGTACCATCTTGGTACATGATGTGCAACTCATCTCAGCTTGGCCTGTTATGAGCTTCCTCCAAACACGTCACTGACAAGGGTCTTAAGATGCCGGTGTCTCCTTGAACTGAGGATAAATGATGGTGTACACTTGAAAGCTTAACAATATAAATGATTTATACCCCCCCAAAAGTCCTTTATATGATTCATAGTCTGCTGCATGTATAGCTCTAGCTGGCATTAAATGCATAATGCTGTTAGACTGGGGTACATGTGTGTATGCACCTGCTTGCTCTAGATGAAGAGCTCTCTCTTTAAAGGTGTGATGTTTCTGCAGCTAGTGGTGATAAACCATCTACGTGAGCCAGCTATGCATTCAAGAACCTGCTGCCACCTTCTAGTGATGCTGAAAAACTGGTCCATGCATTTGTTACTTCCAGGCTGGACTACTGTAACTCTTTACTATCAGGATGTCCCAATAATTCCCTAAAAAGCCTCCAGCTAATCCAAAATGCTGCAGCCAGAGTACTGACAGGAACTAGCAAGAGAGATCATATCTCTCCCATATTAGCTTCTCTCCACTGGCTCCCTGTAAAATTCAGAATAGAATTTAAAATCCTTCTCCTAACATACAAAGCCCTTAATAACAAGGCTCCATTGTATCATAAAGACCTCGTAGAGCCTTATCATCCAAACAGAGCACTTTGCTCTCAGAGTGCAGGTCTATTTGTGGTTCCTAGAGTCCACAGAATTAGAATGGGAGGCAGAGCCTTTAGCTATCAAGCTCCTCTCCTATGGAACCAACTCCAAATCTCAGTTCGGGAGGCGGACACCCTCTCTACCTTTAAGATTAGACTTAAGACGTTCCTTTTTGATAAAGCTTATAGTTAGGGCTGGATCAGGTGACCCTGAGCCTTCCCTTAGTTATGCTGCTATAGGCCTAAGCTGCTGGGGGGCTCCATGATGCTCTGAGTTTCTTTCCCCTCCCCTCCCCTC